TCCTCGACACTGATCACTGTTCTCAAAATCTCTATTCCCAATACTGAACCTTGATACCCGCAGATAACTGATTCTCTTAAAACTGATACTGATGCCCTCAGGCCTGATGCCCAGACTTACAAACTGGTGTGTTCATTTCCCTGCAGAAATACAGTCTAAAAGTACATAGCAAGTAAAGAGAGCCAAAACACCCCTACATTGGGGTAGGGTTTCCCTGTCCTATTTTGTCAGGAGCTAGGGTTTCACTACGCACACAGCGGTTCTCAAACAACCTAATATCGGGTAAGCAGCTTGTCCTAATTTGGAATGGTCACTACGGATCCGAATATGCACTAGGTCGAATGGTCAAAAAGGGTGCCCCGGTAAACCGGGGTTTGTACATCACTACCACATCCTTTATAACTTTGTCTCTCTAGTTTTTTTTTTTTTTCTTCCCTTTCTTGTCCCATGGTCTGTCTTATATTTTTGTGTGGACTCCACGTTAGTTCATTTTGGAATTTGCTATGATAGTTTTTTTTGTTTTTGTTATACTTAATGGATTATTATTAAATTTGTTTGATGGATATATTTTGATTTATAATATAAATTGTTTAGTAAATTTTTTGTGTGGACTGTGTATAATAGCTGGTGGATTTCTTAGTACATTTAAAAGGCAATTGGGATATGAGCAAGAATATTTGTGAAATAATAATTTAAATTGAAATATAAAATATGGGACAAGTTTAGTGACAAATTTTCTCGTCATTTGTACTTGTTATTATGACAAAGTGATTATTCGTCGCTAATAAATATTTTTGTGACAAAATTTATTGCAGCTTATATATAAAAGTTTTCATTGATTTTGTTGTTTGGTGACTAAACATTTCGTCATGTATATATATTTTTGCCACGAAATATATTTCGTCACCCATGTATGACGTTTGGAGACGAAAAATTTCGTCAACTTTACATCTTACTGTGACGAAATTATTTCCTCATCAAGAATCAACATGTGTGACAAATTTATTCGTCAACTAAAGTTATAAATGTGATGCTGGACAACTATTTGGTGACAAAAATGAGGCTTTTTGGTGACAAAATGTTTCATCATTGAAGTATTATTTATTTGGGATTGGGAGTCATGTTTGCATATTTTATTTTGTGACTTGAATATGGCGGTCTCAATTTTGGTTTTTGGAGGCAGTTACTATATTTCCTTGGGATAATAAGATAGTCCATTTACTAGTTGTTGTCTTTGACTTCAGAGAAGATTGCTTTTTGATAGCACTTGGGTTTATATGTGCCTGGTGGGGTTACTTTCTCTCGTCTTCTAGATTTTTAGTTAGTTGTAGAATTCAAAACTTCAAAATTCAAATGACGCTCAAGGTGACATCAGCTTTAGTTTAGGTGGTGGTGGCGGCTATGGAATGGAGAAGCAAAAGAGAGAATAATAGAGAGCTTAGTCATGTTTAGGGTCTTGGAAGTTTTGTACAAAGCACCAACTCTCAAGGAGAATAAATGCCAGATCCTGAGTCTTATTTGCTTTGTTTGGTTATTTGAAAAAATTAGTGGATTGAGACATTATTTTTTTAATAATGCTTCAAGAAGGAAGGCATTACTTTACTAATCTTTGTTTGCATGCTTCAATACAACGAGGCTTCATTTTGCTACACTTTGGTTCTTCCTACTTATCTACACATATCATTTATATGTCATAATTTGTTTCAGATTCTGGGTTTTCTGTTTCGTAGATGTTAGAAAACCATATTTCACCTAAATTTAGTATATTGATCGGTGAATCACAGAAACATTCTCAAACATGAGTTAAATTTGAGTTATTGTAGAAAAGATTGGTTAGTTGTAGGATCAGACTTGCCCTATGTTTTAATAGAGAAATTGTCATGACTCCAAACCACCCCTAGTAGTATGGTGCCGTGATGGCCAGTAATCTGAGATTACCGAAGGCCAACTTTCAAAATTCACACACAATCAGAGTATAAATATATGGGTCTCACAAGTGCGGAAGCAATATATGCAAATCTAGTTAGTCCATAAGAGCAGTGCATAAGTCAAATGGAATGGCATACATCTTTACATAACTTTACAACTTGAATACAAATAAAATAAAGTACAAAAATACATATTACATCTTAACAAAAGGACTCCACAAGCCGACATAAACAAAATACATGAACCACAGGTCAAGGAACATAATCTTCAAGATTGCCGACATCCTCACTGCCGACATAACATGCAGACAAAACACACATCTCGGCGTAGCCGACTTCTTGCTTGTTACCTACATATATACATAGGGAGGGTGAGCTTGGATACTCAGTGAATGGTATAAGTAATAAAGGGGTTAAATGAATGATACCCGAGATCTTTTCAAACAATACATAGTATATCTTTATCAAAACCATACATAACATAGCTTAGCTTGACTTGAAATAAAGCATCAATCGAACCTTGGTCTTTCAAAACTTGCTTACTTACTTAACATACGTTAACTTAAAACATGGGGTGATGACATTCCGGGCAAAACAAAAGCATAACCTCGGCATCAAGCACACCCGTTCATAGTCCGTCGGTGGCCGGTATCTTAACAAGGGTGCTACTTAGGCTTAACGTCTCCTAGCACGAAAGGACGATGCTACCTAGGCTTAAAGTCCCCTAGCACGGAAGGACTTGTGCCACAAATGCTTAAAGTCCCCTAGCATGTACGAACTATGTTACCTAGGCTTAACGTCCCCTAATACGAAAGGACGGTGTTACTTAGGCTTACCGTCCCCTAACACGAAAGGACGGTTCCAAGAATGTCATCCAAAACAAAGCTTATACTTGATACATAAAATAGGGATATCATTCATGCTTAACAAATACTTTTATCAAAATAAGGCAAAGCTTTATCAAAACTTTATAACATAGCTTTATTAAAAATACCACTCACATAGTTCTTGGGACGTCGGGATCAAGGCAAAGGTCCAAGTCCTACAAACACATGGCAAAGCCTACTGAATGCACTTCTCAAAACAAGTCTTACATGCATGCAAATGATCTCGGGAAACATGCTGGAAGTCAAAACACTATTTCACATGTCAGGAAGACATGCTGGGTACCAACCAGGTCTTTGCCGAGGTCCCACACCTCCTGGCCGAGGTGTGGTTACCTAGGCTTCGGCGTGCGGCTACATGCCGAGGTGCGCACAAGACAAACTAAAGGTGTAAGTGATCATGCAAGATAGGCCAAGGTGAGATACGATGCTTGGCCTAGGTGTGTGATCTAGGCAAGAGTGATCTCGGCGACTACACTTAGGGAAGTGAGGTCTGGAGATTTGGGTTTCCACCCGTGAAGAACATGAAGAACATGAACATGAAGAATATGAATGCTAAAATCATAACTTCTTTATTACAAAATCTGGGATTTCATGCTATGAGTTCGAAAACATGGACCTGGGTACCCATACTTGAAGATCATGTAAAAAAAAACACAAAAACATGGATCTTGGCATGAGGTTTCGGATCAAAACATGATTTTTCTTGAAGAACACATGAATACTATTTTCTCTTTCTAAAACCGAACTTCAAAGCAATGCATGGCTCACAAATCATATTCAATCATGCAATGCAATAACATGAACATAAAGAACAACATGAGTAGATTAAGAATCTAACCTTAGAACACGGATCTAACTGTTCGATCTCTAGGGATCAAGCTTGGAAATCCCCTCTCCCTCAAGAACTCCTCTTCCTCACCTAGATCTTCTCTCTCCTCTTCAAAACTAAGATATAGAAATGATAGGTTTTCTCCCTCTGCCGGCTGACTTAACACTCAGCTCAGACACGTGGCAACGGCTGGTTGGTTCTCCTAAAAAAGGTGATAGATTGACAAGACAAGACTATGACAAAGTGTATCTAACAAGCTACCCGGTAAGGCACTCCGGCAAGTGATGACATCAGCTAAGGACAAAGCTTCGGCAACTAAGGTGACAATGACCTAGGCTAGGAAGGACAACACTTGACTAAGTTGTGCCACACCTTGGCCTAGATGTGCCACACTTCGGTCTAGGTCATACCACTCTAGGACAAGATCGCTTAGGTGCAAAGGTAACATCTTGGCCTAGATAATACACATCTCGACCTTGGTGATGAACACCTCGGCCTAGATAATGACATCTCGGCCAATATGTCAAGGCAAAGGTGGAGGTCGAACAAAGTGGTTCCAAGATAATTCTAGGCTGAAGATGACCTCGACTTGGAATGATCTAGGCATAACATGACCTAGGCTTGACATAGCAGAGAAGGGACAAAGCATGCAAGCAACACTTAAGCAAACAAGACAAGATTCATGAATGCAAACTTAACATGGCAAAACATATAAATGCATGCAAACATGACTAGGACATGAATGTGGGTTGTTACAGAAATGCTTAAGTTGCATGGTGTCTTTTGATGGAGGGATATTTGCCTCTTCAGTGGAATCATATTGTCAAGTTTTTCTCCACTTCATTGAATGTGGTTTACTAGGTTTTTCCTTCATGTTAACAAGTATTCTTGATTTTTCTTTTATATTTTGTTATTTGATTTTTCAGACTTCCAATTGTGAGTTTGATTATAAATTGGGTTATCAGTTTTGTTGTTTTTAAATGAATTCCACATGCCAATACATTAGATTGATCACATGCACACAAATCTATATAATTTCCAAATTGAAGTGTTAGGTGCACACTGTTTGTGCTTGTCTGCAATTCTGTTCGATGCATAATTATCTTGCCAACTCTTGCTCCTTTATGCTTGATTTCTTGTGTAGTGCATATTTGAGTTTTTGAGCCAAAGATGTCTTCAGATTATAGAAAACATATTATTGTTGATGATGCCGAATTGGATGACGATGTATCTCAAGGACCCACAAAGAGGATTCAAAAACTAACTTTAAAGGTATAGAATAACGTTGTCAAATTCAAAGGACCTAATGGAAATGACATAGCTAGATGTAAGCATTGCAATAAGGAATTTGTTGGAGAGAGTAGGAAAGGCACTAGTCATTTAAAAAATCATTTGTCGAAGACATGTCCAGTACTTAAAGGACCAAATGCCCCTAGGAATGCTAGTAAGGCTACTTCTGAATCTACTTCTAAGGCTGCAACTTTTAAATTTCATTAAGAGAGAAGTCGTATGGATTTTTGTAGGATGGTAATCAAGCATAATTATCCTTTTAACATGGCTGAGCATGAATTTTTTGAAATATTTTGCAATAATCTTCAGCCAATGTTCAAACTTGTTTCTTGTAACACTGTTAGGCCGGATGTCCTTGATGTTTATGAAATAGAAAATGCCAAGTTATATCAATTTTTGGATGAACTCTCTTCTAAGATCACATTGACACTGATATATGGACTTCAGACCATCAAAATTTTACCTATACATGTTTGACTGCCCATTATGTGACTAATGATTGGGAGTTAAAGAAGAAAATTCTTGCTTATAGATGCATTGATTACCCGCGTGATGGAGACCATTTGTTTAGCTTTATCAAAGATCTAATTTTAGAGTGGAACATAGATAAGAAGTTGTTTTCAATGGTAGTCGATAATGCAACGAGTAATGATGTCATCGTGACACTCTTAAAGTGATGGCTACATGACCAAGGATTATTACATTTGGGTGGACAATTGTCTCATGTGCGTTGTAGTGCGCACATATTGAATTTAGTTGTTCAGGGTGATTGGGAGTCTTATTTCAAAAATCTGAGGAAGTGTGAGATATTTAGGGAGGTCTCCTTATGGAAAACAAAAATTTGATGTTGCAGTGAATCATGTTAAGTTACATCATAAAAAGAAAGTCCCCATGGATGTTCCTACCAGATGGAACTCCACTTATTCAATGGTTGAAGCTGCATTAGATTTGAAAAGTGCATTCCACGGCTTAGGGAAAATTGACAAACAATATAAGCACATTCCTCCTGAGGATGAGTGGAATGTAGCAAATGTGATTTGTGGGTGCTTGAAGATTTTTTTTTTGATGCTATATCTCACTTTAGTGGTACCACTTTTCATACTTCAAATGTGTTTTTTCCCGATATTTGTCTTATTCAACTTGAAATGAAAAAATGGGAGCAAAGTGAGTATGATTGCATTCGATTGATTGCTGGTCCAATGAGAGTGAAATTTCAAAAATATTGGGAAGAATGTTCTTTGGTGTTAGCAATTGCAGTGGTTCTCGATCCAAGATTTAAAATGGACTTGGTGGAATACTACTTTGGTCTTATTTATGGTGCTGATGCTAATAAGCAAAATCAGAGGATCCGTAATGGTTTTATTGATCTTTTTTATGAGTATAGGAGTGATTCTTCTGATTCTATGAGTTGTATTGCACTTGTTTTTGAAAATAGTAGCTCAAGTGGTAGTCAATTGCTTGTCAATTCTTCAAAACAAGAAAGTTTGGCTCCTTTTCATGCGTGGTATGCCCAAGAACATGCTTCTAACATTCATGCCTATCAAAAATCAGAGGTGGAGCAATACTTGGAGGAGTTGTTGTTTCCAAGTAATGAGAGTTTCAATATTCTACATTGGTGGAAAGTGAATAAAGCAAAATTTCCTACTTTGGCAAGGACGGTTCGTGATGTTTTAAGTGTTCTAGCTACTACGGTTGCATCAGAGCCGGCGTTTAGTGTAGGAGGTAGGGTGATTGATGAGACACTTTCTTCATTACTTCCAGATATTGTGGAGGCCTTGATCACTTACAATGATTGGATTGAATCAACCAAAAATATAAGTAAGTGAAATATTGAAGTTTTAAATAATTAGATGTCCTTTAGTTTAGTTCTATTAATATCTTAATGTCACATTATTTTGAAATTGCAGACGTAGAAGAATGCTGACATGAGTAGATGGATTGTTTCTGTGTTGGTTTTGATGCCTTGGTGAATTTTGTTTCTACTTTGTATCACTTGGTTTTTCATTTATTCATCTTATTATGACATAATTTGATAATCTGTTTGCATATTAAGGTAGTAGCTTTCTTGATTTGCAGGTTTGATAATGAGCTTAACCAAGTGGTTGCTATCAAAGTTATTGACTTGGAAGAATCATGAGTATATAGCTTTAATTATGTCTCCTTTATACAATTTATTTGCTCTCTCTTACTAGAACTACTTATTTGTGCTTTAGCTTAGGTCAGTCCTTTATACTTCTCTCTAGAATAAACTTGTGTTTCAAGAGGTTTCTTTTTCCTGTAAAGCTACCAATAAGTGTTTGATTGCAACTAAAAATTGTTTGTAAAAGACTTGCATCACCATTCTTATGGTGTAAACTATTACTGACATTGGAAGTGTATCAGAATTTTGACATTTTTTCCCTGTCAATTTTTGACTCTCGTTGGCTTTGTAATTTAGAATTGAAGATGTCTCACTATTTTTGGCTTTGAAAGAGGTGACCCCTCTTGTGGTGAAATGTGGGTACATAACTTTTCTTCTTGGAGCTTGATATTTTTGGATTAATTATTGTTATCAAGATTTACATTGTTTAGTTTGTCTAAAAATTATATTGAGTTTCTCTGAGGGTAGTTCTATTGCTGGGGTCGAGTAAAAACTTTTTTGATGCATTGAGTGATTGTGCTCTACCCTAGCAGTAGCCACTATTGCTCTGGCAATGGGGCTGCCCTTCTCTTATTGTATGTTGCCCTTAGTACTTAAATATCATTCTGTCATATACACCCACTGTAGGATCTCTGTATACCTTTTTCACCAATTATTGCCTTACCCTAGTCAAACTTATATGTGTCTATGGAAAGGGGACGGGCATTATGACCCATTTTTTGATATTTTTGTCTTGCCAAAACTTAATCCACCTTAAATTTTAGTTCATTATATTTGAATTTTTTTTTTCAAATGGAGGTTTTCATATCCTATCACCTTGGGTAGCAGAGTTTCTGCCATTATCGCTTGGGATATGCCATGAGAATTACATTACATTACATACTCTTTAAGATATATGTCAATTTCAATTATATACATTTATTAGTGTTCCAGGTTATTTTTCTTGACTGCTTTTCTGTCATGGCTTGTGTTGTTTTCTCTATGCAGGTTGGGGCTAGCTTTATGGATGCTTGCATCTTTGGAATGATTAAGGGTTTAGTTTTTTTGTTTTAGCTTTAGGCCAGCTTAGGGAGGTTTTGTCCATTTGTGTTCCTGTTAACGTTGTTTTCATCTATACTTACTTTTTTGTTTTAGGTTTTTTAGCTATACTCAGATAAGGGGTTGATCTGTTTGCTTTTTGTATTTATCTCCCTTTATTATGTTCTATCCTTTTTTTTTTCCAGAAAAAGCATTGATTGTGTTAGATACTAAAAAAAAAAAAAACGTTTTGTATAATCTTATAAGTAGTATAAGTATTCAAAATTTGATGTTACAAACAATAATTTTTTATAATTGGTATTTTATTACTTTATATGGCTGCCTAATCAGAGAGAGAGAGAGAGAGAGAGAGAGAGATCTGTGTAAAATGGATCTGATCAAATCACGAGTAATTGGATTTTTAATAGTCGAATTTAGACTCAGATTAATGGTTAATCGGATCAGATCGGATTTTGACAGATCCGACTTGGATCTGACTCGTTGACAGGCCTAGGTGTGGGTTATTTCATTTGGTTATTGAAAACACAAAATTGAGGGTATTTTTTGAATTGTGGATTGTATTTTTCATTTAGCTGTCAAAAAAATGTTTGCCAAATAAACAATTTTTTCTCTTGTTTTACCAAAAAATTTGGTATATGCAATAATTATTGCTTCGTTATATTTTTTTTCTTGTTAAATAAAGACAAATTCAAAAAAAGTATACATAAATTTTTTTTTATGCAAACAATGAATTTGTTGTTTGCTGTATATATATTTATTTTTTTAAAATAAATGTTTTTAGTTTCAAGTTGTGGACAGTATGATACACCAACCAACTATTGCAATATTTGTTAGAATACTTCACAAATTTATGAGTTGCACAAGTTTCGTTGTTTGTGATTACTATTCTCAACCAATGCTAGTAACTTTGGCAGTAACCAATGACTACGAGGCTCAATTGATGAAATTGTTGCCGACATGGTAGAGGGAACTGATTCGAACTTGTTGGTAGTGTGCAATAGTGCAGCAACGTATCATTACAACAATTTCCACAAAGTACCATGAAATACTTCTATACTAACGGGACAATTATGGATTTACGACTTGTTTCAGGGCCATCATGGGCGTTGCGAAGATGTGATACGCATGCCGAAGAGCCTTTTTTTGTTGGTATGCTAAGTTCTTGTCGACTTTAGCCTACCGATACCTAAATGGGAGCACAATTTAGAGGTCAAACAAAAGGTGGCTATTTTCATAAATATTTTGTAGGGCTTGCCTAGAAGACATTAATAGAACGACTTTAGCACTCCGAGGAGACGGTGTCAAAAAATTTCCATAAAGTGTTACAGGCAATGATATCTTTCATGGACGTCCATAGTAGAAGTTTAGACCCAACAGTTGTGCAACGACGTCAGCACCCACATCTACAATCGCAAACACAATACTTGTCATTCCAAGTGCAATACTTGTATTTTTTCTTTAACACGTGCTTCACAAATTTACATTTTTGCAACAATGTGTAACATAACTCCGTACTAACACACACATGTGAGATAGGACTGCATTTGTAGCACATACTGGCCTGGATAAAATAGTCTGACGTAGGGCCGTACCGGTGGCCACAAAGAAATTCCCACACAACATATTATTGTGGTGTGTGACTTTCATTTATACTTCACTTTTGTTTCCTGTGGCTAGGATCGGAGCATGCACGACAGTAGAGTTTTACATTATGTTACAAGTAATAACGTGCATCGATTCCCGCATCCTAAACCAGATAAAAGTTGATTGTTAATAAAATTGTATGCAATAATTATTTGATATATATGCACTAATTTTTGTAAATTTCTTTACTTTATGTAAATGTTGCGTGATATATAATAATTGTTTATGTGCAGATAAATACTACTTGGTTGATAGTGGGTATAATAATTAGAAAGGGTTCTTGGCACCATTCAAGGGAAACCGGTATCACTTATTGGTTTATCACAACCGACGACCACGGTACGACTACGAACGCTTTAATAGGGCACACTTGTCGTTGCATAGTTACATCAAGAGAATGTTTGGGGCGTGGAAATCAAGGTAGGGAATCTTGAAGAACATGATGAAATATGATTTTTGGACAGTACAAGTTTTCTTAGTTGCAACATCAATGACCTTACATAATTTTATAAGACAAAATAGCCTCACTGATGAAGTAATGCAAAATATCCAAAATGCCGAGGACTACAAAACACTGAACCTTCCCGACCACCCAACAATGACAATAATTGGAGAAATAATGATGCCAGGAGATGAAGACATTGAAATGGCGAATGTGAGGGCCATTATTGCATATGTGTTGGCAGCATGACCGCAAGCGTAGTAGCTTTGTTGATGGAGGCAGTGGGAAGTATATTACAAGATTGTTTGTGTTTATATGAGAAATGTAAATTATGTTATTAAAACAATCTGTTTTTGCTTGTTAAAGAAAAAAAAAATTTATGTCATGAAACATTGAGGGTAAAAAAGATTCAATTTCTTTTAACAAGTTATTTTTTATTTACAAATCACTAAATAAAATCTTCTTTCTTTTAGATTGTCACGAAATATTTTCTTGTTAAACTTGGCAATTGTTGATTTTTATTATTCAAAATCGTGATGCCAACATAATAAAACGAAAGGGTACAAATTCACGATAAACAATTTGTACAATTGTTAACAAATGTGGTCAAATAGATTGGAGCAATAGTGTTATTTTGCAAATACATGCGTATTTCCACAACACACTTTTGTTTTCATGTTATTTGAGAGGAGAATTTGCGCCGAACAATAGGGCCAAGCTATGGTAGCGCGGGGTATGAGGTTGGGCCTTGTGAGGGCCAAACCCTATGTCTGACCGAACTGAACCAACGCATCTCCCCAGCCATTAGGTTGGGCCGAGCAGACTGTCGACCAAAATGCGGAGACATGTAGGTGTTCAATCGAGCTGTGATTCAGCCTGATATTCGGTTAGATCCGCAATGATGCGTTGGGCCGAGCCACAGACAGTCCAGATTGAATTTGGGCCGAGATGTTTTACAAGGTAGCGGGGCGAGATTGAGATGTCAAACCGCGCGCCTCACGACCGGTCAGTTCAGACAGACCGATTTATTATAGTTTAGTCGTCCCAGTCATTGTAGTGTTTCTCCCGAGTGATAGGTCGGTCGTAGCAGCCCGATTGTGTGAGCCACCTGGACCAATGATATAAAGAAGGGAAAATCCACTCCTGGTATGCGTCAATACCATTTGGCGGTTTGACAAACACTGTTTCGAGGTTTTGGTCTCTACACGTGTAAGGAAGTTAGAGGAGAGCACAACCGCCTGTCCAGGGAAGGACAACAAAGGTAGTACGCCCACAATCTCTGAGGCTGTATGGCCAGCCTAGAAAAGAAGGAATGGGGAAACCTTAAAGGTAAACAATCTGAAGGAATTCACAACTCTCTCTCTCTAGAGAGCTCTCTACATTCTTTTTCTTCTCCAAGTGTGCTGACTTGATCGTTGAAGGATTTATCCGGTAGCACACCACCGAACAACTCACCTTCTTTCTGTTTTCAAGTTAAGCAGCGTTACGTGATGCTTAGGCTCAAGGAGTATAGAGAACGAAGAATATTGCACCCCCATACAATTGGCGTCGCCTGTGGGAAAACTTTGACAAACAAACCTTGTTCTTCAAGCTTTTTCGACTGTATTCATGGCTAACAATGATGAAACTCCGTTGTCCGTTGTCGATGGTATCACACCAGAGTTTGTCCGACGGAGAGATGACCCTCCTGCTATTTTGACTATGGCGGGCCTGGAGGCCTCTTCCAAAGGTGTGCGAGACAAATGCGCAAGGAGTACTGACCACTCAAAGAGTCCAGAGGGTCGGCGACGACGGGGAGAGTCACATGCTCAGTGCTTGGAACACAAACTTAGAGACTAGGATGCCCTCATTCGTAAGATGGTGGCTGAAATGGAGGCGCTAAAGTGCCAGATCAAGAGGAAGGGTGTTGTTGGAGAGGGTAACCACAGTGAGCGCACCCCGCCCCCTCGCTCTGGCAATCGTCGCTAAGATAGGATGCCCTCTCTCTCTCTCTATCACCAGAAGCTATGGGGTTGGAGACTCCGACCTACAGGTGGAGAGATCTTACACTCGCGACAGTAGCTACCGTTCCTCACGTCCATCGGCGACGTCGAGATACTCTTACTCCGCCCGTTTGGGGGACCTGAGGGATGTGTTGGAGGAGTGGGCTCGCCGTAGAGAGACCCAAAGATTGCTGGCGTTGCAAAGGCTAAGTCCCCAAATCCGTTGCAGTGAGGAAGTGGCAATGCCGGCACCTAGAGTGATGGCCCCAGTGCCAGTGGACAGAGAGCTAGCGAGACTTATCGCTACCCCATTGTCCCCAGAAATCGAGAGCACGCCGATCACTGCTGGATTCCACCAACCTAAGTTCACACTATACGACAGCAAGACGGATCCATACATGCACGTGAGTCATTACCAGCAAGTAATGGCTGGCCACCGGTGTAATGACGCCTTGATGTGTCTCATATTCCCAGCAAGTTTGGGAAAACTGGGCCTGAAGTGGTTCGAAGGAATTTTGGAGGGGAGCATCGAGGGGTGGCAATAACTAGCAAAGGCTTTCGTCACCAGATTCAAAACCAATACTCGAACACCGAAGGAGGTTGACCATCTCCTAAGCATTAAGATGGAATCTAGAGGCTCTTTGAAGGCATATAATGAAAATTACTGGGAAACCTACAATGAGATCCTCGATTGCCCCACCGATCTGGCGATCGCCCAATACAAGCGGAGTCTCCTAATCGAACAAAGGCTGTGAGACTCACTCACGATGCACCAACCCACAACCATGGAATCCTTGATGTAGCAGATCAACGAACATATTCGAGTAGAGGATGATGCTGCCACCGCAACCGAGAAGGAAAATCCGATCGCAGTGGATAGAAGAGTGGCAGGGAAGGTTCACTAGGTGGGGCAAGAGGACAACCGCCCAAATGACCGAGCTAGAGACCACCATCGCGGTTCAAACGGCAATGATAGGGACAAAAGTTGCAGAAACGACTGAGCTAACACTCTTCATAATGATGAGGAAGATGCCAAGAGAAAGTTGAAAACACAAACCGGCATCACCACTGTCTTTAAAATCCCTATTTACCGCATCCTAAGTGAAATCCGAGGTGAACCCGAACGAAGGACTGTGTGCCGCTCAAACAACATTTGGAGGACCTGGTGGCGGCTAGGCATCTGGACCAGTACATAGGCGGGGGTATGAGAGCCGCTCCCCAAGGATAGGCCGAGCCAAATGGCCTTGCTATCATGGATGCAGCGCCTCATGGCATAATCAATGTCATTCACAACATCATCGAATCAGCACGGGTTTACGAGCTGAGGGGGACGTGAGGGAAGTGCTCTCCGTTCAGCCCACCGTGAAAAAAGAAAAGATCGAGGAAAAAGATGTCCTGACCTTTTCAAGCAAGGACTTAGAGAGAATTCAAATGCCTCATAATGATGCCTTAGTGGTGACCCTTCGCATCAAAGACTTCGACATCAAAAGATTCTGATTGACCAGGGGAGTTCAGTCGAAATCATGTACTATGACGCGTTCAAACAGATGAAGTTGGAGAACAATGACTTGGCTCCAGCAACGTCTCATTTGGTTGGCTTCAACTCTCAACCGGAATGGTCGATCAGAAAGATCATATTGTCGGTCAAAGCAAGATCGATCACGAAGCAAGTGGAATTTTGGGTGCTAAAGGTCCCTTCAACCTACAACTTAATCCTGGGCATGGAATCGTTGCATGTCATACAGGCAGTAACGTCAACTTACCACCAGGTCCTATGCTTTCCAGTGCCAGCCGGACAAGTAAAAGAGGTTTGGAGAGACCAAGTAATGGCGAAACAGTGCTTTGTTGCAGTAACTGGTAGCCGGGCTGCCAAAGGCTTTGTTCAAATGATAGAAGGACTAGAAGGGAAGGAAGTCCTGGAAGACGTGGGAAGAAAGGCCGAGGAGAAATCGGTTGAAGATTTGGTGGAAGTGCGTGTCGACAAGAATGATCCAAATAAGTTCTTTCTTTTGGGATCATCTTTGTCCAGCACTGAGCGACTCAATTATGTCAACTTTTTGGTTTCCAACATGGAGGCCTTTGCATGGACGCCTTACGATATGCTTGGTATCAACCCTAACTTCATTTGCCACCAGTTGAATGTCTTTCCGAATGCACAACCAGTCATCCAGAGGATGCGGTGCTCAGCCTTGCACCATGCCGAGATAGTGGCTAAGGAGGTCAAGAACTTGCTAGAAACGGGGGCAATAGAAGAAGTGCAGTACCCCAGATGGATATCCAACATGATGGTAGTGCCGAAGAAGAATGGTAAATGGCGGGTGTGCATCGATTATAAGACGATCAACCGTGCATGCCCAAAGGACAGCTTTCCTCTCCCTAGAATCGACCAGTTGGTAGATCTAACCGCTAGCCATTAGAGGTTTAGGTTCCTGGATGCATATCGTAGCTACCACCAGATTGCCATGTACGAACTAGACCGCAAAATCATTTTGTTCCCCACTCCAAGAAGCTTATACTACTGCAAGGTCATGCCGTTCGGTCTGAAAAATGCAGGGGCAACTTTTCAAAGGATGGTAACCAAAATGTTCGCCTCCCTTCTTGGTCGCACTATGGAGGCTTACATCGATGATATGGTGATGAAGAGCAGAGACAAGTCTCAACACCTTGCCGACCTAACAGAAATGTTTGCCATACTAAAACATCACAAACTGCATCTGAATGCCTCCAAATGTGCATTGGGAGTTGGAACCGAATTTTTTTTAGGTTTTTTGGTCATGAACCGAGAAATCAAAGCCGACGCTTCCCAGATCAAGGCAATACAAGAACTGGAGCGGCCAAACTCCACGAAGGATGTGTAACATCTCGCCGGAATAGTGGCCGCGCTAAACCGATTTATCAGCCAGTCTTCAAATCGTTACAGGGCCTTTTTAAAAAATTTGAAGGCCAAGTTCTTTTGGGATGACGAGTACGACCGTGCATTAGTGGATCTAAAAGTATACTTTTCTTCGGCCCCAATCCTGGTCTCATCAAAACCGGGCGAAGAACTATATCTCTACTTGGCAGTTTCTCAACACGTGGTGAGTGCCGTCCTCGTCCGCACTAAGGGGATCTAGCACCTCCTCATCTTGTACGTTAGCAAGATACTGCTCCCTGCTGAATCAAGATATCTGCCACTAGAAAAATTGGCTCTGGCCCTCATGATGGCTTCTAAAAAGCTAGCGCACTATTTTTATGCACACATAATAGTTGTGCTAACTGAATTTCCGCTCAAGGTGCTATTTGAAAAGGCAGATTTTACCGGTAGAATTTTGAAGTGGGCCTTGGAGTTAGGGCAATACGATATCAAGTTCCAGCAGCGCACTGTTATCAAAGCTCAAGCTCTTGCCAATTTCGTCATAGAATTTGCCCCTAGAGCACACCCTATTTACCCTATCGATTTGGCTAGCGCGGATTTGGCACAGCCCACGGCTAAAACAGTAGAAACAAGTGGTGGACGACAAGTGGCAGAAGGGTAAGAGAAAGCCGAGCAAGAAATGGAAAAATCGGCCAACTTGCCAAAATACAAGCTCAACAGAGATATAGAAAGAGACCAGAATGAGCCGACCAATACCTTGGAGTTGAGGAATTCTCAAAATCCCTCCGACTGCTGAAAGTTATTCATTGGCAAGATGTGGAAGCTCTTCGTCGATAGGGCCTCCAACAGACATGGCGCCGGGCTAGGGGTCGTGCTGACATCCCCGAATGGGCTAACCATCGAGCACGCGATCACACTCGGTTTCCCAGCATCCAACAATGAGGCAAAATTTAAGCCCTCCTCGCCGAATTGAAGAGTGCATTGAGAATGGAAGCATCAGAACTTATGGTATTCAGCAACTCCAAGCTGGTGGTCAATTAGGTCTCCAAGGAATATGAGGCTTGGGATGAAAGAATGGCCAAGTATCAAGCATTGGTACACATAGAAATCAAAAAGTTTGCCGCAATAAGAATAGAACAAATTAATCGCGAAGAAAACAACGCAGCCGACAAACTAGCCGGCTTAGCATCCATGCAAACGAATTTTCCCAATCCTTTGATGATAGATTTCATACCCTGACCAAGCATTGAGGAACTAAAGGTGCTTAAAGTACTTTACGCCAACTTAGGATGGTCCTGGATGGATCCCATCATCGTCTTCCTGAAGGATGGAATTCTACCCACTGAAAAGAAGGAGGCCAACAAGATCAGGGCCAAATTCGAACGGTTTTGGCTCTCTCTATCTGGCACCTTGTACAAGAAGTCTTTCACTGGGCCATACCTGAAGTGTGTCCACCCCAGCAAGGTAGAAGCTTTCCTCTTCGAGATTCATGAAGGCATTTGCAAGGGTCATATTGGGGGCAGATCTGCTTAGTAAGCCAAAGATTTGGGAAACTGACACAATATATAAGCTGAGCTCAGCTCCCTACCACTCTCACAATTGTCAACAACGCCATCACACCTTCTCCCATGCCTGCAATGGGATTTTCCTTTCCTACTCCTACACCTACACCGCCGGAGCTCAGCTCCCTACCACTCTCACAATTGTCAACAATGGTCTCGATGATCTTAAATCATGGCAAGTCTTCACTGGGTTTCAACACAACGAGTACTTAGCAGTCCTTCTCTTCCAGCAACCCATATAACTTTCGGCCATGGCATCACTGTTAGAGGTTGTAGTGATGGTGGCGATGCCAGTCCTCTTCCTGATGGGTCTGTCTCTATCCACCAACAACAGCGGCGGAGTCGAAGCCACATGGTGCGTGACGAGGAGCGACGCCAGCAACCAGGCTCTACAGACGGCACTGGACTACGCGTGTGGCACCAGAGCAGACTGCGCACCGATTCAGTCGTCAAGGCTGTGTTACCTTCCAAGCAATGTGAACTGTGTCATCGTCCCTCCCACCTCTGCAGAACATTGCTGATCCTTCGACCCTTACTCACTCACAGAGCTCATCAATTCCACAATAGTTTCAACACCTTGTAAACCATGAAACCTTAGATATGTGTATATATGTCAATATATATATATACATATAGAGAGAGAGAGAGGAGGAAGCTAGGAAGTGCCAGTGGCTTGTGTTGTGGTTGGATTATGATAAAGAAGGAGAAAACATTGCATTTGAAGTTATTGAAGTCTGCACAGAAGCAAATCGTCATCTTAATGTGTGGAGGGCTCGTTTCTTTGCCTTAATAGAAAGGGATATCCATGACCTAATCAATTGTTTGCTGATGTTGTTGATGTTAGGCAAGAAATAGATCTCCGAATTGGTGCTTCCTTCACTAGGTTTCAGATTATGCTGTTGAGATATGCGTTCAATCTTAATTTTGCTACAGATTATAGAAATGTTGTTCTAAATTATGGACCTTGTCAGTTTCCCAGTTCCTTGTTGCTGACATTGACAATAATGATTGTGTGAGGTAAATACATTGTTTCTTGTTATTTATTTTGGATTGTTTACTTTAAATCCTAACTCTAAGGACTGAGCCTGAGATGCATGAGAGTTAGTAATAGCTTATTTATTAATATGTTCAACTCCATTCAGTAGTAAATATTGGTGTGAGAAATTTTATGATGCCTACGAGGATGACGTCAATGTTTATGTAGTAATGGAGTTATGCAAAGGAGGTGAATTATTGGATAGAATACTTTCTAGAGGTGGAAAATACTCGGAAGAAGATGCAAAGGCTGTCGTGGTACAAATTCTGAGTGTGGTTGCCTACTGTCATCTCCAAGCCGTAGTTCACCGTGACCTCAAGCCGGAGTTGAAGCTGGGAGGGATTTTGACATTTATGAGGATGACTGGGTTTGACCCACGGAATTTTGAAATGGCAAGAATGAAAGGAAACCTCAATGAGATTGCTAATGCTTGTTTCCTCTTCTAGCTTGATATAGGGATTTTCTTTGGATTATATATATATTTTTGCAAGATCAATATGATTTTCGAAATCATCCTTTGTTTAGTGTTGAAAATTAATTGTTGATTCAAGAAAAAGAGTGATTTTGGAAATGGGTTCAATATTTGATCCTTTGAGATAGAAATTGGGGGTTTTTGAACTATGTTGATGAAAGAAAGAAGTTTTGGTGAGATCTTCTTAAATATTTGAAGATGAATGGTTTTGGTGAGAAAACCTAGAAATTGGGGATTTTTAAGGAAGGTGTTGAAAATCTTTAGAATATGTTGTTATATTTATTTTTGTGTGCCAAAATAAATGATGTTTGAAAGTTGTTTATTTATTACATATAAATGATGATTTTCCATGGAATATGTTAATTGATGAGGTTTTGGAAATTGTTGCTTAAAAGTGTTCATATGGTCTTGAGATGACTACGTTATTGGAAATGTTTGAAATGTTGGAATTATGTTATCCCTTGGATGAATTGAAATAAGAATATTTATTCATCTTGTGAAATTGCATTGAATTTTGAAAGTTGATTTGAAAACTTGTATTGAGAAAGAATGTTGAGAAATGAGTTGTCATGAAATTGTTTTGGGTTAAATACGGTGGTAAGTCTTGATAGGTAGTGTAGAAGATAGGTGTCGAGCCTTCCAGCTGTGACTGGTAAAAATGACAAAGAATAGGTGTCGAGCCTTCTAGCTGTGACTGGTAAAAATGACAGATTATGGGTGTCAAGCCCTCCAGTTGATACTGGTAAAAAATGACAAATTGGTAGTACTTGTATAGTCTACTTGCAGACACTGACCTAGGGATTACCAAAGTTGTATTTACACCCCCTTGAGTTAAATTGTTAAGTTTTGAATAATGAAGAATTACATGGCATCATTGAGCATGTTGGTTTTCAAAAGGTGAATGTGTGTTTTACTATCAAAAAAGGCATGGCATGGCATAAGCATTCCATCTTATGAGATTTGTATAAAATGTATATACTTTGTGAAGGATTTTCTTACTGGGCTTTGTGCTCACCCTATGGGATTTTTGTGCAGGAAAGGATGTGGTGATTCCGCCTAACTGAAGGCGTGGAAGTGTGTGTAGAGAGCATAATGTGCTCGTTTGCTGTGACTCTGATTTCAAGCCAAGGGCTTTATGGGTGTGGGTTTGAATAACCGTTTTGTGTAACCAGGCTCAAGTCTCGAAAACTTGTAAACCCTTAGGGGTATTTGTTGTTTAATTAATTGTTGTTAAATTAATTTTATTCTTACAAGAAAACTATTTATTTCATGTAATGCAAGTATGAGGATTTATGATCAGTTTTATCTTAAAGAGCCATGATCAATGTATTACCATTTGGGCATGAAAATGGGGCCATTACAATCCCTAGAGAAGGCAAATTAGGAGCGAATTGGGAGGGGCCATACAAAGATATTGGCCTTGCAAGGAAAGGAGCATACCACCTGGAAGACCTAGATGGTAAAGTTATCCCCAGACCATGGAATGCAGCCAATCTCAAGATATTTTACTTTTGAAATGTAACTTTTTCCATTCCTTTGCTTTTTGTAACTTGGCCTTTTGGCATTGGGTGTAAATCAATGACATGTAATGGAAGACAGCCCCACATTTTTCTTATACTATGTGTTTCTGTACAAAGATATTTCAAGGATATTAAGCTACTATGAATGCCAGGGGCAAGTTGTCAACAACGGCTTGACTTTGGCTGTGCAAACAGTTGGTGTTTTGCCCAACTTGCATTAGGGTCGAGCTGACATTGCTCGCCCATACAAACAGTTGGTGTTTTGCCCAATTTGTGGTAGGATCGAGCCGAAATTGCTCGACCGAACAAACAGTTGGTGTTTTGTCCAACTTGCGTTAGGGTCGAGTTGACATTGCTCGCCCATACAAACAGTTGGCGCGTTGCCTAGCTTGTGCTAGGGCCCAGCTGACATTGCTCACCCGTACACATAGTTTGGCATTTTGCCCAACTTTAGCTAGGGGCGAGCCAATTTCATTCATAATTATCCGGGCTGATTTTGCTCGGATTGTGAGACTGATTGTGCTCGTCATTCACCGAGCTAATTTTTGCTCGCCGTTTAAAGAGCAGATTTTGTTCATAATTACCCGAGATGTTTCTTGCTCCCTAATGTAGAGAAGATTTTGATATCAAATTCGCTCAACTTATATTGTAGCCGAGCTGACATTGTTCACCTACTTAAAATGTTTGTGTCTTTGCCTAGTTCTTAATAGAGTTAGTGTCACGACCCCAAACCGCCCCTAGTAGTTTGTGTCACGCTCCACTTTTTATTACTCGAAGTCATTACCAAATTCATTAACTTAATTCAATTTCAAGGATAACATGGGGAAATAAACTGATACATTCAATCCGTAAAAGTGATTAACAATACTCTCATTCGTATGCAAAGTAAATATTACATGAACATAAATTGCCCTTGGGCTTACATCACTTAAGGTACAAGAAGAAGGGTGTAACCCTTTCACAACAATGGCATTTCGCCAACATAACTGAGGCCCCGTGGCCAGTAAATAAGTAGAACCAAATCTTGCAGCTCAACCTGCTTAACACCTGAAAAAGATTCAACAACGTGGGATGAACATATAGTCCAGTAGGGAACTCAACATGATCCTCAACAATAACAACTTACAGATAGCTATGATCATGAACACTCATTCTCTTACTAGAATAGTAATGTGACAGTTTATACAAGATATATATGTATGAACTTTTCTCGTAAACAACCGTTTCATTCAACGCTACAAGTGGTTTGTCTTTCCTTTTTCCTTTCATTAACCCCCGTTCCCAATCTTTCATAACATTAACAAATACTTAGGAAGTAATGTCACTAAGCCCGATACCCTCTTCCATTTCCTATGCATACTCAGATGTACCTTTTCAAACATGTTTATCTATAAAACATTCGTTCTCCTCCACACTTTCCAAAAGACAAAAATGACATTTTGGTTCGTTTCCATTACTATCATAACTATACATGCATATCTTTGTAAAAATATAAATTTACAACCCACCAACATGTATACAATCAACCAATGGAGTAACTCGGTCCTCCGAACTGTAACCAATCAAAATCCATGATATTTTCAGTTACAATGAAACAACAACAATCCTGTTTCGCTCTACTAGCTATGTGCGTAGTAAGCCAACAATACACCCCACTCAACAACATTAACAACAAGCCAGTTTACCAAGCGCTAGCTGGAGGGGTATGGTACCTTCGATTATTACCGCAGTCAGTTCTCCAGGGGCTAGCTGGAAGGGTATGATACCTTTGATTCTAAGCGCGGGGCATAACACCAACAATCACAGCATATCAAGGCATAACCAACATGTATAATGCATATACATAAACTATCAAGACACCAGCAATGTGTTAAAGCATATGAACACATTACTATCTCCTTCCGAGCAAATATACATATATATAATGTATCTAGCACTTCATCACATACGATGTTCAATTAATCAATGGCAAAATGCAAACCCGACAATTCTACACAACCGTGTCATCCTCCACCGATGACCAAGGACAAAACCTCTAGATGCATATAGTTAATACATCTATTAAAAGACTCAAATATCATGAATCACGAACCCAACAACAATATTAACATGATAGTTAAAGATACAACTTCTACATGTGTGTTCAACACTCAAGATACAACAATCCAATTCTCAAACTTATTTCGAAAACACTTCCCTCATTTTCACAAAAACGATTCCATAAAATCAACTCCAAAGCCATGGTTAATCCCTTAGGCATTAACACCCTTACCACACTCGTTTTGACAAAAGAGATTTACACACAATGGTCAACAAACCCCCATTATAATTTACCCAACCAAAATATAATTTAGGGCTTTTCTTCTATTAACTACAACATGCTAATTTATATTCCAATTAGCCCAAAACAACCATTAATGACAACATAACCATTTTTCAACACCCAACCCTAGGTTCCTTCTCATGATTTCAAACAAATCCAACATGGATATGATTTTTATGCAATACAAAATTACCACATGTCTATCTATAGACGGAGTATTGAAAAAGAACAAGGAGAATCCCAACCTCAAATGGAGAACTCAAAAGGAGAAGATGACCCGAAATCAAAGTGCTCCAAATCCCAAATTTCTTGGATCACAACGAAGCCCTCGACGATCAACACACTTCTTACAAAGGCCCAAGATCAATTGTTTATGAGATCTCTTCTTATCTTGTCACTGTTCATGTAGGAATATTACTATGTCTTCTCTCTCTCGCCTTTTTTTTTTGAAGGGAAAATTCTTTCAGATTCGTAATTCAGTATGTCATAAAATTGTCATTTTCAATGTTTTCAAATGGTTCCAATACAATATGATTTCAGTAAATTGAGTCATACTCGATTTTCATTAACTTAAATTGTTTAGTCTTTTTATTTTGCTTAAGTATTGGTGATATTCTAATAATCTTTAGCAATCTCAGATTGAGTTTCAAATAGTCAAATAGATGGATTCTAACTTTATCAAATATTAATTAGGACCGATTCAAATAAAGTCACACATACATACCATTTTAACTTCAGATTTCTATACATGTATTTAAAACATTCCTACCGATCTCTGACCCCAAACCGCCCCTAGTAGTTTGGTGCCGTGATGGCCAGTAATACGAGATTACCGAAGGCCAACTTGCAAAATTCACACACAACAGAGTATAAATATATGGGGCTCACAAGTACGGAAGCGATACATACAATCAGATTAGTCCATAAGAGCTGTGCATAAGTCAAATGAAATAGCAACCATCTTCATATGGGTTACAACTTAATTACAAACGAAGCAAAGTACAATTACATCTTACATATTAACAAAGGGCTTCACAAGCCGACACAAACAAAATGCATGAATTACAGGTCAAGGAACACAGTCTGCCAGGTTGCCGACATTCTCTTTGCCGACATAACAATCATACAAAA